GAGTGAGGGGTCCTTACTTGATTCGACGCTAAAAACTAGATTGTTACTGCACCTACGGGCGGTCCCTGGGTTCCCTGAATTTTTTCTCGGGAACTGAAACGCGCTGACGGTACCTACACATGTCCCAAATAACCTAAAAATCAAACCCAGGGCCTACTCGGCCAATTTTAGAATTCCGGTACGACGGCTCCGCCGCGCTCCAGCGACGGCACCGCCGCTCGCAGCGACGATCCGCCTCGGGTTGGCAGTTTTCGGCCATTTTCGGCCGAATTCAGCCAAACATGCATCGGTTCTCTGTGAGAAAACACACTTAGGCCCTCAGTGGACCAAAAAATGTAGAAAATCAAAACTCACCGGCGGTGGGGCTCTCCGATGCGGCGGCTCCTCTGACTCACTTTGCAGTTGGGTGTTTTGCTTCGGTCAACCTGTAGAGGATGAGACGATGATCACAACAGTGGAAAAATCACATCGAACAGGAATTAGAAAGGGACTCATCGGAGGCAAAAACTGAAACACCCCGCGGCGGCGCCACTGAGCTTCGGCGGCGTTTTTCGGCCAATTGGCCGGTTCTTTCACTCCGATTTGGCCATGGGTGGGGTTTGAAATCAAATTCTGAGCAAAGGATAAAATTTTTATCTCGTTTGACGGTCGAAAATTGCTCCGGTGCGATGACGGGTGGCGGCAATCAGCTCCCCGGCGGCTGGGCTATCTTCTCCGACGAGGGGCTCTGGCGGCTAGGGTTAGGGTTTGGGTGCGGATGGGGTTATTTATACTCATCTGCTTTTGATCTGGGCCGTCCATTATTTTTAATCTAGACCGTCCGATCGCGATTAAATAGGGAGTGAATCTGAACCGTTCATTATGATTCAATCTGGACCGTCTGTACGCGAAGCAATCTGGATCGTCCGTGCGTATTTTTGATCTAGGCTGTCCGTGGGCACGAAAACGGATCTCAGCTGTTCGTTCGCGCGCACGCGGATCGCCCATGTGGCTCTCCCCACGTGGCCTCCCGCGTCAGCGCCTCTGCCACCTAGCGCGTCCTGATTGGTCGGGGCTACTGACTGGGCAGCTGTCGTGGCGTAACTTTTCTAAATTATGTTTCGACCTCCGGTTTTCGATTTTTCTTTCAAAAATACCCTCAAAACTCAAATTTTTACCTCTTTTCTCCAAAATTGTTTTCAATTAAATCCCTAACTAATTTTTTACCCATTTTTATTATTATTATTATTATTTTCATTAAATCAAATTAAATTAAATTAAATTA